CTTGAGAAATGAGTTACTCAAAGGTTGTGCTTTTAGTGAGAAACCTTTCAGCAAATTAAACTGGAAATAAAAATGCTTTGAATCAGTAACTCTGCACTGAAAACTAGCTTTTGATTATTGAGGGGTTAATTAATTTTTTGCCGCTTTTTATGATTAAAACTTGATGCAAGTTTTTCAATTCAAACGAAAATGAGATGAAATGCTTGATCTTAACTATGAATGTTTTCCCATTTTCAGCTCCTTGAAATCTTTAAGGACTAATGGCTACAGCTCACAACGTGGTTTTTAACCTTTACAGTTTTGTTTCTGTTCTTAAAAGCCCGTACTGAACAGTACTTGAAGATTTTTATTTATTCTTTCCTGGGATCCCCAGCACAAGAACATTTGTGGATTGCATGTTAGTTCTAATGGTAGAGCTGAGTGACTTTTGGCTCTGAAGGCTTGGGTGGTTTAGTCACCGAGATGAGGAATGCTTAGCCAAAAGTTGGAGTTGACAGTGCACTTAAAAATGCAGAGGAGAGAAAAATAGCACCTGTAGTGGTTTTGCATGCACTAGTCAGGAGTAATAAAAGGAAGTTCATGCAAATACATCCTTAAAAACAAGTACAAAAAACCTAACCTTTTCCTTTTCTTCCTATGGCCCAAGGCAAGCAATTCTTCAGGCAGAAAGATCAGATTGTTGCTGATCTGAAGATTCAGTAAACTGGCAACATGTAATTAAATCCAAGACTTCATTTGAATTAGATCCTCCTTGTTTGAGGGATTTCTTTCAAGTATATTAGTACACAATGTTGCTCTTTTGTTTTCCTATTCTAAGATCCATTTACACAGTGAAGAAAAGATTAAAAAAAAAGGAATTAGTCTTTTAATTAATAATTAATACATGACTCTTTCTTTGCAACAAAGTTATTTTATGATTCTGTACTTTCAGTAGATTTCTGATACAGGTCTCTTATGTGCAAAATTGACTGTGAGATAGATGTAAGACAGAATATTAAAAATAATCAATTTTGCTCTTTGTATTATGCACTCCTTCCTTTTTGCCAGCTGACTGGAGGCAGTGTCAGCCATAAGGCAAGAAGAGATGTGTGTTTGCAGAGCTGCAGTGTTTGTCAGACTTGCACATTGCTCCTGACCAGTGAATGCAAAATGCATGATCCTTGGGACTCACACTGCAAAACAGCAGGAACAAAGGGGGCATGAAGGCACGTGGCTGTGGGAGGGAAGGTGGAGCAGTAGGAAAAAATTCTGGTCTAGTTAAGATTGTGAAGCGTTTGAGTCAAATAAGTCTGTAAAATATTAAAGGAAGCAAACAAACTGGCAGAGTGATGAATCAGGAGAAGTGGAAGAGCAGAGAACATTTGCAGGTGCATTAAGAGCTTGCCAATAGGACCCAACTGCCAAATACTGTCCACGTGGGTCACCAGTGCCAGACTGCTACAGCATGCTCCTTTTTCCCTTTCTATTTCAGCTCTGATTAACTCTGCTGTCTGTGTCTTTCCAGTTCCTGTGGAGTGGTGTTGTCAATTGTGCTCTTGTTGGTAGTTTTTTCACTATTCTGCTTCTATAACTGATCTACTAATTTGCTGTTTTGAACTCAGCCTTTGTCGGAATTATGGGTAACACAAGATCATACAAACTGCTAGACTGGAATAGTTTCAATTCAGGTATTTTATTAGTCATTCAGTACTACATATGCTGACAGAAATTATGGCAGCTCAGTGAAGTTATTAGAAATGCTCTAGGATATTTAGGTTAATGCCTCAAATTTAAATCTATTTAATCATCAGATGCCTAAATGTCACATTTTCATGCTGTTAAAAACTTTGTTTAAAATTACAAAACATTGTTTTAGTATAATATAGTATTGCTAAGAATAATTTAATATCCATCTGGAAAGCTGAATGTTGAGATGTTTATTTCATAATCACTTTCAGCTCAGCATCCTTGAAGGGAGTAATTTAGGATAAGAGAAGGGATCATTCCTTGCACAGTTGGGATCATGTCAGGTGTGGGTTATTTTTTGGTTTGGGGTTTTTTGTGTAATGAGTTTTGGGTTTTTATTTTGGCCTATTGGTTTGCTTTGGGGGGGACTCTTGGTTAGTTTTGTTGTTTTGCATTGCCTTGCAGTTCCTTCAACAAAGGCTTTCCTCCTGTTAATTTCAGGAAATCAATGAATGTTTGTTCTTAGTACTAGCCCTAAAATAATAGTTGTACTATAGATAATGATAGATCTAAAAAATATCCAAGAAAAATAGAGATCTATCCGTTTAAAGAGAAGGGTAGTATGTAGCCCAGGATTTCTTGGTTCATCAAGCTTGTATTGTAAAGTGCAGCCAGTTACAGGACTTTAAACATAAGTATTTGAACTTTTTAATCACTTCATTACCCAGCTAGAAAAAAGCCCCAATATCCTTATGTTTTTATGCAGTTTTAGTAATCAGTGTGTAACTTCCTTAGATAGTAGGCCTTGTCAGACTTGGTGTTTATAAAGCTGGCACCATTAAAGGTACAAAGCTGACTCCTGAGGGCTTGCTTCCCCCAGACACTTCCCTTCTTGATCATTCACTCTTGCCATGCAGCTCTGTGTCATGCTCTAAAATTCAGTTTAAATATGCAGTTATTAAAAGCCAGACATTTTCCACTCTGCAAATTGTTCAAAAGTAGGGAGAGCTTAAAACCATTGGCTCATTTTTGTTGTTCCTTTTACAGTAAGCATCCTTTAAAATTATGATTGTGAGCTTTTCTGATTTTGTTTGTTTTCTTTGCTTGTTCTAAAGTGATAATCTTTTAAAATTAACTTTTACTATATAAAAGAATATTGTCAAATTCTCAGGTCTGTGACTGGTATGGCATAGTCTGATCCAAGGTGTTAAAAATGTGTTGAAATTTTTGTGTATTGTGTGCAACCTTGAAAAGTTGGAATTCATTGCTGCTTCTTCCAGATTGTTCAGTGAGGTGTTTTTATTGAAAGAATTTTATTGGAATAATGGGGTAAGTGAGTTTATGTACTGACACTAAGTATGCCTTGAACTAGGCTAGAAAAGTGATCCACAATGTAGGATTAGAGGCAAAGTGCAAGTCAGGAATTCAGTTCTTGGCAGAATATCCAAAACGGTTGTCTAAATTTTTTAGAGATTACAGGAAAATGAATGTGCATTTCTGTGTAAATGAAGCATTTTCCCCAGAGGTGTTGGTTGGAGTAGAGAGGTCTCAAACAAGGAGTATGTGTGGAGTTGATCCCTGCTGAGAGCGGTGTTTGTGCAGCCTTGGTGTGTCTGTAGGAGAGCAGGTCAGCCCTGTGCTTTGGGAGGAGCAGGGTCCTGCAGGTGTGGGTGGGCTTTAATCACACCCATAAGTGGGCTAAAATTATTTTCCTTTTGGAAAATGTCCAGGCTTCATTTCAGCTTGCTCAGTAACTGTGTAGTGCAGAAGGATATTTCATTTTTTTTTTTAAATTTGTCTTGCCAATGGTTTAATTGTATGTAAGATACAGCAGAAGCATCCAGTGGTAGTGAGATGTCAGAGATTTGAAGGTGCTTGAAAATCAAACATGGAAGTAAAGACTGACTATTTAATGAATGGAAAAGAAGCTGCTTAAATATCTGGGAGTTCCATGTAGTTCAAGGAAGAATTGTTTAAATGTTTGTAAAATACAAAAAGGTGGATATGAAGATGAATTTGCAAAATGGAAGTGAAGAGTTGAGCAAAAGCTCATAGAAAAGAGGGCACATAATACAGTGGGAGATAGTCCCTGGGGCTGTCTCAGGGCAAGAATCAACTCAGGATAAAAGCATGCAGGAATCCTCAATGCAGGAGGCTGGGTCTTTGTTCAAGGGTGGCCCTGAGGTTAAACACAGAGCACAAAGGAAGGCAGTGCCAGAACTTGCTGGATAGAGGCTGCTTTTCCACGTGGCTGTTTCACAGCACCAACCTCTCATTTCTCACACAGTTAAATTTTATACTCCTCATTCGGGAAGCTGCTCCAGCAGTGCATCTTCAGCTCCAGCAGTCAGAAATATGGGAAGACAAAAGACGGGTAAAACGTTCCTCAGCATCTCTGAGCTCCCTGTGCAATACCCAGTCTCACTGTTGGAGTGTGAAATTCTCCAGAGTCAGTTTTGCATATGAGGAAACACAAGAGGAAAGCTTGGCTCTGTTTTGTTTCTGTAAATGAATGCTTTTCTTCCACAGAAATACAGAGACTGTGAAATGGCATTTCCAGCTGCTGTCTGGGTGTGAGCGTGGCCCAGCTGTGGGAGCACAGCAGGAAATGTCAGAATGTGCCTGTGGTGTCTGCTGTGCTTACCCTTCAGACCCACTAGTGAAAGCCCCGGCATTTGAAGGTTGGCCTCTTGCCTTTGCCTGGAGAATTTCCAGCTTGGCTTCTTGTCCATCAGTGTGTGTGTAAGGAAAATGGAAGGTTCAAGCAGTTGTCAGAGGCTTTTTCTGAAAAGAGTGAAGGGTGTGATGTTCTCCAGTAATAATTGACTCGTTTTCTGCAGAGGACTGAATGTTGCCAAGTAATTTCTATGGTTAATGTGAATGGTGTTTGAATATTATTTCTGGAAGCAGATACGCCCTTATGTTAGTGAAATCATTTTCATTGGGACTGTGCTTTTTTTTTTGAGTGTTCTAAGTAGGTGTTTATGTAGCTGAAGAAAGGGTGGTCACTGAGCACAGTACAGTATTTACACGTTCTGTTAGAGATTCATTAATGAACTTGGCATTTCAATTCCTAGTTTAGAATTCTCTGCCTACCTAAGTAATGCTATTTCATACTGCTTTAAAACTCTCCCTAAATTCTGGCTAATGGTGTGAAAGCCAATAGAAAGGTTTTTTTGCACAAGTGCTCCCAAAAAGCCATTGCTTATTGCACAACTACCCTTTGGTTTTGAATTGATAATACACAAGAGAGAGAACCTTGGTCTGGCAAAAATTGCGTTTTTGCACATAACTTATCCTGATTTCAAAATACAAGGCTTGACTAAAACTATTGTCTTCATAAAATTTCCTTCATGGATTGCATTGAGTTTTTTCAGCCTTCTGGTGTTTGCTTCTGTGGTTGCAAAGATACAGTTGTAGAACTTTCTGCCTGGCTCAAAATGTGTTATTGTTAGAAGAGAACCAGAATGGTTCTGGTTGAACCAGCACCTTCCCAAGTGCTGCACAATTACAGCTAAACGTGGCCTTGTAAAATGCCTGCTGGGGTTTGGTAGGAGGATACACAGGCAGAGAACACACGTTCTAACTGCCACAGGAGTAACTGATAAATGTCAATGGATAATAAATACGAGGCACAAGAGATTTTCTTTTCAAGTCTCCTTGCACCCAGGAGTTCCAAGAGGCTTCTCTGCCTAGTTTGCTTGTGAGTGCCCAGAGATAATAAACACAGGGTTCTGCATGCCTGAGGAGCGCAGACAAGGAATAGCAAACTCAGAGGCAGTGGCATTGCACACCAGCTGGTGCCATGGAGAGATGAAATGGGCTCAGAAAGCCCTGTCCTGTCACAGCACACAGTCCCAGCTCTGGGTAACAGCCCCACCTGTAGTCACTTGAGGCTGTTCTTTCAAGATTGCTCATGGTTTACAATAGGCTGTACTGATTGTGCCAAGGTCTCAAAGCAACAGAGACACAGAATAGAATAAGTAGTTTCTTTGTTACCTGCTGAGTCACCATTCTAGGATGTGTGACTGAAATAATCACTAAAAGCTGGACTAACAAAGGCACATATTTATGCATGGAAATTATTTTCCAGAGGCAAATTTATTTCCTATATTTACTGTTTTCTAATTTCTGGGCAGTATTTTTGAGCTTTTATAATCCTAAGTATGATGCAATTTAAACCTTCATTTTTAAAGTATTTTAATTTTTAATAAATGTTTAGTTTTTAATATATTCTGAAAATCTTTCTTGCTTCAAATGCCTTATATTTTGACATAATATTTTTCATTTTATTTAAGTTGTATCACATGGTGGTTTCTTTTCTTTTAGCTCTGCACTTAATTATTACTGCTGCTTTCACATTATTACAAGATTATTTTTTTTTTTAGATGATACTTTTTTCAGTTTGTGCTCTTCCTATCAGACTTTCATCTACTATTAAAAGGAAAAGTTACAGCCACTGTTGTGGCTTTATTAAGCCATAAGGGGAACAATCCTTCTGTTTCTCCATCTTGGAGTATAATTTGGGATTAAAGCTATCACTCCCCAACAGTGAGCTCCCACTGAAAGGAATGATATATGGAATTTTGTGTATGGCTTCTCTTGGAGTCTTGGTGCTCATGTAGGGGTGTGTGAACAGAGAGTGCCTGTTCCCTTTGGGTGTGGTTACACTATTTCCTGCTAGTTTAGTGTGTCCTAGTTTTCCTTTGATGTATCCCTACAATCTACTTCCTTCACGTGCTGTGACAAAGTTTTCATTTGTACATCTTTTACTGCTAAAGATGAAGATGGGGAGTGGTATTTCTGCACGCCGATGGAGTGGCTTGGACACTGTTTTGAAAGTTTTAGGATAATCTGCTGTAGGTTTAATTATTTGCTACCTGAATTTTGTGTTAATTTTACAAACCAGAGGATTTGTGTTTCTTTAAAGTTATTTAGTTGTTAAATGTTTTAGAAGATTGATAATGTCAATGTTAATGGGATAACCAGAGAGGATTAAATAAAACTATAAGGTCCAGGGAAGGTTGCTTATAAACCTAACAAAGGTGTCTGTTAAAAAACCCAACCAGCCAAACCTACAGGAAAATACCACACATCTTTCTGTATAAGCTGTTAGTAGGCTTTTAATTAAGAAGATATAAAAATAAGGGAACAATGAACATGTGGATAATGGCTTTGCCTAGTGAAAGATTCAAAGATTGAGTTTGAAAGAATAGTGACCTCCATTGCCATTTTTGAAAGAGAACAATGACCCATTTATAGACGGTGAAAATTTTCCTCAGATGGTTGTCCTCCTCCTGTCAGAGTATTGTGTTATACATGTAAATATTTCCTAAATTATGCCATGTAAAATTGGTTGAAATGAATCAGACAGTGCCTGCTTTGGAGCAATTTCCTCAGGTTGTTTAAGGATTCAGCTTTAAGGATACAGCAGCTCTTATGTATGAACAGTGTCATCAAGAGGCCATTCTTCTTGATCTGTCTTCAGTTTCAAAAATCTATATGGACCAGCAAAATGCAGCTTCTGGGGAAATCTTGAAAGAACCTGTACGAGTGAACCTCTAGCAAATAAACTTGGGAAAACTAATGAATTGGAAGGTGATAGTGTCTGGGTGAAAGGTTTAGACAGAATATTGTCCCCTGGATAGTGCAGCTCCAGCCTGTATTCTAAGGGAGAGGGGTGACTTGGTGGATAGAGCTAGCTCAAAGAACATTCCAGGTACAGTGGTGCTGGCTGTGGCCTGTAAAACTGCTGAATAAAATCTCTTTGGAAAGTTCCAGCTGGAGGAGGCCTGAGTTGGCACGATTTTTATAGAACACTGTACTTTTGACAGCATTGTTTCTCAAATCCTCAACCACAGAAACAGTGTGCTTTGCTTCCACTGGGTTATAAATATCCTGCCAGTTGGGAAACATTAATGCAGTAAGTTTAGCGTTCAGCCTTGGTTTCCCACAAAGGGGACGTAATTAGCAGTGGAATCTCCTGCAAACCTTTCTGCCTCAAGTTGTAGAGAGCCCTTGGTCCCAAGGACTGGGTACATTTGCTAGAAAAGCTTGTGATGAGTGCTCTGTATGCTTGCCTTCTTGCTTCCACCTAGAATCCAGGGCCATTACTTTCTGTAACCATTTCAGTGAGCTGCCATAGTTTTCAGTCTGTACTGTCACCTGATCCAAGCATGCGCCAAAGTACCCACCGTTTCTGGCTCCTGTCTGCTGAATCTGCTTTGCAAACCCTCAGCTCTTGAGCTTTTGCCTCAGCCAAACAACCGACAGGCACTCCATGGAGTGTGCTGGACACATGCCATCCTGCTTCCCTAACTCCTCTAATTGTTGATGTAACTCCTGAGCTTTACTAAACTTGTAAGTGCTACGACGGCATCCCCATGTGAAATCGTGTGGCTCATGTGTCAAAAAGGCTGCTTGTGAAAATATTTGTCAGAAGAATATGAATGCTACACATTGCACTGCATTCAGTGTTTCGTATCAACCTATTATTGCGATGTCATGGTGTTTGATTTGAATTGTAGACAATTCTTTTGTGTTTTAATACGCAAAGGTAAGTTCACGTAAACTGAATGTACAGTATTTCTATATAAAGATAATAATTATTTTTGGCCTCTTTCTGCAAGAAAAAATTAGTCAAATATCTTAAGCAGAGGTCACAGTCTTCTTTACAAACAATTGTTTCTGCATGACTCTTATAGAAATATTTGTTCGTGTATGATAAGAAATTGTTGGATTCTTTGAAAGATATTGGGCCTGATCCTGTTAACACTGAAGACAATGGCTGGGAAATGCTTCTTTCCTCTCAAAAGAATGAAAATGATCCGTTATATTTCTGTAGTTAGTGTTGTTAGTGAGGATATTGAACAGGTTCTTAGACTGAAGGGTTAAATGTTGTTTTAGCAAGACAGTGTGGAGCAACTTCACAACGGTATGTGTTTGCCATAATGGTAAGGTGTCCCTGTAGATGTTAGGTAAGGAAATTCTTAAGTCTCTTAAGTTCAATAATTTAAACTATAATTTCTTGTGGAGGAAAGCTAAATGTGTGCATAGAATTTGGGACCCGTCACTATTTCTACCCTTTATGTTCACTTTAAGGATCGCTGTTTCCTTTCACCATCTCATTCCATTTCAGTTTTCACTGTGACTACATTCCTTTTCAATGTCATTCCTGTCTTTATCACTCTTACCTTTATTTCACAGCACTAGCACTTTTTGTGTTCATCCTCAGTCACCCCACCTGTTGTTACTCTCAAATCCTCATCATGACTTCACATTTTCTTGCACTTTGACTTGGAAATGTCACTGGTGATTAAGTAGAAGCAGTTTTTGCCACATGGAACCAAAAGGTGTAAAAAGTTGTAGTTTTGAAAACTGGCACTTTTTTCTCTAGGAAGAAGGGTATTTCTTCCTTGCAGGCGTTTTTCTGTGAAGTACAAGAATTTGTGTGGCTGCTCAGTCAGTGTTTATAGCCGGCTGCCTGTGACCCAGTCTCACTGAGCAGATGTTTTTCTGCATGGTCACAGAACCACTTTTGCTGCTGCTTAGACTTTTCATGTATGAGGAGAAACACATTGCTTATCCAAACAATCTCTGGCCCATGACTGGAGGGGAGAGGAGGAATCCCTCCCAAGATCCATGTCCCTGTCACCAAAAAGAGTTAGAAAGACCTTTGACAGAATGTGCCTGTGCTCTCCCATCCTCCATAGCCTGCATTTGGCAGATGTTGCAGCCTGGCCTTACAGTCCCTTCCCAGAGACTCCCTTGGTTCAGCCAGCCCTGCTGCAGCTCCCTGCTGGAGCAGAGCAGCCTCTCTCCCTGCAGAGAAGGCATTTCCCATTTTCTGTGCCACAGGTGGTCCTGAGAGCTGAGCTGGGCAGCTCCCGCCCTGTGTGTGGTGGTTTGTTTCTGCAGCAATCCCAGGAATTCCAGAGCTGGCACGAGCAGGTGCTCCAGGACTCTGAGTCAGGATTGCTGAGTGTCATCCTGAGCATTTACTGCCCCAGTCACTGAGAGCATTTAACAGTGTTTTCACCCTGAGAGTGAGGTGCAGCCCCTCAAGGCCCTGCCAGCAGTGCACTGGAGCCTCCTGAAGTGACCTTGGATTGCAGAACGTGGTTGGTGCAGCTCACAGAAACCCCTTGGTTTGTGTTCTGATGTGTATGTTGTTGTTCATTGCAGAGAACGTTCTAGGAACTCACTGCAAGGTTTTTTCTGTTCACTGTTGGTTTCTTAAAGCAAAGGTTGAATAAACTTCAGTCTGAGCATCCAGGCTGCTGTAATGCTGTGAGTTACACAAGCACTGCCATCTAAAGTTAGGTATAATTGAATATACAGACCTCTGCTCTTCCTTTGAATTGGAAAAGATCATTAGTTTAGTTTAGAGAATTTGGAGCCTAGTTCTAAATGCAAACTTGAGGTAAAGTCATGAATGAATACATCTTATTTTACAATATTTCTGTTTCAGTAACTTAAATTCTGTGTATATCTGCATCTTGCATTTTTGTTTGTCATGTTGTCAGAGAAGCAAGTGTATGATAGTGTGGTTATCATACACTGTGTTGGTAAATATTCCTGATAGTACAAAATTGGTTCCAAATAACTTCCAGGTTTTGACTTTGATATTTAAATTATGATTCAGCAAGGAGAACTCAGTAGCCAGAAGTTTGTATCTGTGCTAAGTGCAGTTAATTTCAGAGAAGTTCCATAAGAATCTCTCTACTCAGAACCCTTGGTAATGATTGTTACTGGTTTTCCCTTTTTGTATCAACAATTAACACAGTTGCTAACCAAAAGCATTGTAACAGGTAAGTTTTGAGAGAAGAAACAGCTGACAAATTCCAGTTGTAAATTCAGTGTTTGTTGGCTTGTTTGTAAGACAAGAGCTTTAGTTGTGGGAGCTAATTGCTGAGCAGTTACAAAATAAATGGACTGCATGAACTTATTCTAGCCGCACACTCCTGTTGTATTTTTGTATCTTGTAGCTTTCAAGAAAAGCAGGCAGGATATATTTAACATGTAACCTTGGGGACAGTAAAGGTAATTTGAATCCATTCATGGCCGTGGAGGGCAGGTGCAGTTTCCAGGATCCTGACTCAGAAAAGCACTGACAGCATGCATCCTGTATTTCTTCACGTTGTAAATGTAGGAGTGGTTTCAAATCCCTTTGGCTTCTCACAGCTAGAAGTGCCACAGAACTGTCTGCTTGATTAGTGGTACAGTTTGGAACAAATATTTTCAAAATCTGGTTAAGAGAGAACTGCTTCCAGTAGGAAAGCTTATTGAGGTTATTTCAGAGATAGCAAGTGCACAGCAATGTAAAATCTAAGTTTACTACTAGAAATACTGTTTATTACTGTTAGTTTTTCAGCATTACAGAGTATCTGGTGTTACACACTGCTTTGTGTTGTGGGAAGCTGAGGCTGTGGTTTGGGACTAAAACCAGGTAGAGACTGGAACAATATCTACAATATCTTAGTGTTACCTGGCATATGGACAGCAAGGAGAATGCAGTAATTTGTGAGAGTCTGCTCATGTGGGGGAGAAACAAGGTAATGAGTGCAAAAGTCCTGTTAGTGTTTCCTTGAAGTGTATAAGTAGGAAGGAAATAAAGTGTCCACATTGAAAGCACGTGAATGTGAAAACCTCAGCTTTTCAGGTGAATGAATTGCATGCAGCTTGGTGTCAGCCCAGTCCAGAGTAGTGAACTGATTTATACTTTGTCTTTCAGATGAACCAGAGACACGAGATGCCTGGTGGGCAGAAATCAGACAAGAGATAAAATCCCATGCCAAGGCATTGGGTTGTCATGCTGTAGTGGGCTACAGTGAATCAACCAGCATTTGGTAAATCATGATGATGATTTGATTTTCAAAATGCCACAGAAAATGTGTTTCATCATCAGTGGATTAAAAATTAACTATTGCAGTACAGGTGTTGGTACTGTCTATTATATAACTACAGAGTTTAAGTGAGATTATGGAATTTCAGTATTAGGCGTTTTTATATATGTTTAGATCTGGGTTTTAAGTTTTTCTAATTAATGTTACAATTTTTTTATTTTAAGCTAGAACTTAGTTTGTTTTGTAGTATCAGTATTAATTTATCCATGAAGTTTTCTGAATCTAATCTACCTAAATAATTAAGACTATTCCTAAAAGTTTATGTATTGAAGTTTCATTATTGGATAACAACTGGCAGACCAGAACTTAAATGGAAGATTTCACATTTCAGGCCCAAAACAAGCTTGTCCTGGAGCCAGATGTGTCTGCTGATATTAAACAGAAAATTACCCTGGTTCACTATTTTGAATTGCATTTGGGAAGCAGCAAGCAAATTCCAACATCTGAATTTATTTCCTTTCAAATTGATTTTGCTTATATGTTTTAAGGTGAAAGCACTAAAAATTAGCTTTTTTAAGGAGAGGAGCTGGAAAAGTTTTGGTTTACCCTATTTTCCTCAATTACTCCATCACTGAGGGATAACACACCAACATGAAGCATTTATTCCTTTGCTTGTCAGTCTCCTTGTAGTAAGCATGAATAGTTTGTATTCTTTTTCCTACCCTAACTATGGGGAAAGAATGTTTAGAGCATAGGCAGTCAGGTACTGGGTTATTTGATGCTTGCATTTCTCTACAGGAATTGAATGTGGTAGTGTTTGATTATTGATAAAATACTTACTGGAATTCCTATACTGTATTGCCAGTTCAGCTTTATTCCATGCTCAAAGCGCAAACCTGTGTAAGTTCTGGTCTGCCAGATGTGTTATGTAGGAAAAATTATTTTGGAAAGAGAAACAAGAACTAAAAATAAAAAGACAAGTGTGTCATTCCAGAAAACATGGGAAAAATTTTCTCTATTTTTTTCCATATAGTATTTTATACTGAATGCTAGATGGTTTTATATTTAACAACTTGAGAATTATTAAAGCTCTGTGGTCGTTCTGAGACGTTTGAACTCTGCTAAATCCTAAGTATGGTTGTTTACTTTACATGCAAAATGTACCATTTCTGTAATTCTTCCTAGTAAAATTTTACTATTTTGCCACTTTTTATCCTTCAAGAAGCACTCTTGTCAGTGTTGAGTTGTGAAAATTGAAAGTTCATTTTGAAAATTGCAAGTTAATAAGATGCTGGGGCTCTCAACTTCCATTTTACTTTGGTAAAAAATTATGCCTTGGTTTTTTTTAATGTTTACTTGGTTTGCTGTATTTCTTTGCATTTTTAACCACAGAACTGAAAACCATACTTAAACCTGGTTAGCCTTTATCTTGTTATATTATTTGTGACATGAGACCAAGCTCTCAAGTCTCTCTGTGCAATCCTCCTTCACCTTAGGCGATGGTTATGGTTTAAGCGCCAGAAGAGGATTGTGATTTTGAATGGGTAAAATTGCACAAGTGCACAGAACTCCACTGAGACTTGTATAGCCTTTGGCTCTGATGATTTGCTGTGCAAGCAGCCTCTGAGCAGAAGGAATTCACTGTGTTGTTGTTCTTTTCTCTTATAGTGAAGAGGTCTGTATTTTGTCCGCATCTGGCACAGCAGCTGTACTGAACCCTAGGTTCCTTCAGGATGGCACCATGGAAGGCTGTTTGGAACAAAGGTTGTCATGGCAGCCTGGCTTCTTTTCCATAGGGTCAGAGAAGGGAGAGGTTGATTTTTTTCCTCAGAGCCAAGATAGTTCTTCTCTATTAGGGTAGGTTACAGTGTTACAGTGCAGGATGCGGGACCAACCACTTACTGCTTTTCACTAACAACAACCACCACAGGAGTAATGGAGCTCTGCACCCACTTAGATACTTGTTTTTATTTCTAACAGTCTCAATAAGGTAACACGTTTGACTACTAACACAGACCATAACTCAGTTTTCTCCTTCGCTGCTCTTCAGGTCTCTTTCCTCTGTTTTGTATCACACCATAAAAAATGACAGATGTTTGATAACTTAGATAAGCCAAAAGTGGCTGTGTCTGTAATGTGTGTATATCTGCTCCATTAAATACTATCTATGTGTGGGAGATAAAGTAGCTTGGTTATTAAACGAATATGATGCCAGGTTTTCCCAAAATAGGTATGTGTTTGTTGAAGCTGATGAACAAAAGTATGAAACTGAAGTTTCCCTTTGTTTCTGCTCTTGCAAATAGAATTTGAACAATGAGCCTTGCCACAAAGTTATTTTTGGGGAAAAAAAGATTAATTAATGCTTATTGGTAATTTATTATGTATTCATCAGGATAGTAATCAAATATTTCAAGGGATAATTATAGTTGTAAGCAAGGCTATTCCTTACACTTTAGCACTTGCATTGCTTTTTCCATAATGAACCACTCGACATGGTTTATTTAGAATTTATTATTCTTTTACTTTGTTAGCAGAAGACCATTGTCTTCTAGTGTAGACAGTTTTAAAAACTGTAGCCAGAACTAAAATACTTGGTTTTGTAGTCACTGTATGACAGAGAGGAAGAAATACTGTGTTTGTAACATAAAGAAAATACCACTTTTTCAAAATATGTGTTTTGGGGCTACTAAGAGTTGTGGCATGGATTAGAAGTGCCAGAGGGAGGTAAAACAGACAAAGCTCATGCTCAACACTAAATCTGTTTGCCAAAGTCTTATGATAACTAATGTTCCAAATCTGATAGACTTGCTTAAGCACCTCTTCAAAATCCCTGAGAATTGCTGATGTGAAACAGAATGCATTTGCAGTGATGCAGTTGGCCTGTGCTTTCCCTGTTCATAATTTTATAGTGGTCATTCCTGGGTTATAAGGAAATAATTCATTTTACCTTATTGTGCTGCCTCTCAAAAGAATGTTTGGTTTGTTGTTTGTGTTCTGCTCTTATGGGGTTTTGGACACAATGAGAAAAAGAGAATTTTTGGTGTGTTTGGTACAGCAAATTCTGTGTACAACTGTTGTATCATGGATTTTATTTGGAAGTTACCCTGCTTCAAGCCAGCTCAGTGATGCTACAGGTTTTTATGAGTTGTTGGTCACTGAATGTCCTTTTTCTCAATCCCTGCATAAGAAGTTTCAATGCAAGTTTTATTGCTAGCATTTTAGCAAGTAGTGTGCACCCTTTTCTTGTGGCTGGTGTATTGTAATACTTGTCAGCCTGGTGTCATGGAGCAGAGTTCAGTTGTGGTGGATGATTTGAGCAGCTCTCTGTAGGTGTTTATTCACATGTGCACTTACTGAGCATGGTTAACAAGATGCAAATGTTTTAAGCTTTCTCTCCATAATGTGTTTTTAGGATTGAAGAAGCTTCACCACCAGGTTGTGGATTTTGCCATATCCCATATGATGAATTGAACATGCCATTTCCTGCCCACCTCACTTACTGTTACAACTGCAGGAAGCAAAAAGTTCCTGATGTCCTTTTCACCACAATCGACCTTCCTGTAGAGGCAATAGTTGTTGGGAAGGGATGTCTCATTCAAGCCAGGTATCTGTCTAAATAATTCCTTCTAGTGCAGTGCAGTTTTGGAGACCTCTGAAAGAACTCCTGTTGCTAAAATCCAATGTGGCATCAAACCTTATAATATAAAACATACAATTGGCATGTGTTCCTAAATAACATTTCTCTCTCAAAGTATCACTGCACTGGTGTGGGCTTTGAATTTCAGCTTGTAGGACTAAACCCAAAGAGAGGAAGATATAGTCAGAGATGGGATTGCTATGCTCTGTTTTGTTCTTTTCAGATAAATATGGCTAATGCTTTAGCTGTGAGGGCACTTGGGTTTGGGATTTTTTCTTCTTTCCAATGTGTGGCTTGAATAACTGTATTAATAGGAATTTTAAAAGTTCTACCACTAAAAATTACAGTAGTAATTTTGTGTACTTGTGCCTGAAATGTTTGAGGCTTGCAGCAAGAGAGGCAGATGTTTGCATGGGAGCTCCTAGTAGAAGAAAAGCTGAAAATAGAAGTTTTCAGATGGCACTGTCTCAAGGAGTTCTTGTAAAGAGCTGGCACTTTATTGTACTGCTGCATCAATCTAGAGGAATTGGAAAGAGGCTGCCCTGGGTCATGC